CCACGGAAATGTCTTTGGACAGCGCTGGCTCTTCGGCTTTGAAACAGAGATGAGCACCGCAACCCTAGAGTCCGATTCGACTGGCTTTCGAGCAAGGGAACCTTTACCTTTACCTTATCAAACCACACCAGGGTGCCTTGCTTCCTGTGGTCTTGGCAATTCTCTGATTGCATCCCGAGAGCACCAACAATCTGAGTCATGATCCTTTCATACATATGAATTATCTCAGGACTTTGAGGGGGCTTCCAGGACACAGCCATTACTTCAGCTAGGGGAGTTGAACTGAGAAAATTTGCAGGCTTGCAGGCTTCCTTTGATGACCAATAGATTTTTGGGACCCTAATTTTTTCACTCTGGGAGACCATCATTTAACTTAACATTGGAGACCTCTCTCTGTACACAGAAAAGTCAGCCTTTAGACTGATCAAGCAAAGATTGGTTGACGTTGAGAGGCAGGTTCTTGAGAGCTGTGCAAAAAGTAGATGCTCACCCCTCCATTTGGGGCTTTTACCTTTTGGGCATAGGGCTGAGTATCTAACTTGTTTAGCAAACCCGGGGCAACAAAGAACATATATGTTAGTAAGGTTTAATGTGTTGTCATCAGCAGTATTATATGGGAGATTCCCCAAAAAATCCCATTTGACAGTAGACTGTGTTCCTGCACTAAGCAGGAGATAGAAACTCTTGAACATGTGTTTCTTTCCTGTACTTTCTACTCGGACCTGCGCCTTACATTCATTGAGCCATGGTTGAGAAAGTATTCAGGGAAACCTGATAAATGTAAGATTTACTTTTTGCTGACAACCCAGAATCATGTAATAATAGAAAGTGTTGCAAAATTTCTGTATGAAGCTTCAAGAAGGCATTCAGTATTCCTTGCAAATTGAGTCGTATGTTCGTATGTTATGCTAATAAAGGTCGATTGACTGATTAATTGCTACAAACCCTTGCGGATGCCCCTTTTTCCTTATAATCTGTAGAGAGACATGATAAATGTAAGATTTACTTTTTGCTGACAACCCAGAATCATGTAATAATAGAATGTGTTGCAAAATTTCTGTATGAAACTTCAGGAAGGCATTCAGTATTCCTTGCAAATTGAGTCGTATGTTCTGTATGTTATGCCAATAAAGGTCGATTGACTGATTGATTGAAATGAGATTCTGCTACAAACCCTTGCGGGTGCCCCTTTTCCCTTATAATCTGTAGAGAGATGCCATGGTCTATGGTTAGAGTGTCAGACCAGGATCTGGAGACTGTCATTAAGCTCTCTGGGTGATCTTGGGACTGTCACACAATCTGTGGAACCTACTTCACAGGGTTATGGTGAAGATAAAATGGAGAAAGGAGAATGCTGTAAGCCACTTTCTGTTCCCATTGGGAGAAATGTGGGGTATAAATGAAAGAAATAAAAAAAATTAAGTCATTTGACTCCAAACTACTGTTTGTAGCTGTAAACATTGTTACATTACATGTTTCTTCTTTTAATTTCCAGAAAGGCCTTGTGGGCATCCTGGAGACATCCAGTTTGGTTCTTTTGAACTCATTAATGGAGACGAATTTGTCTTTGGCTCTCGTGTTGTGTACCAGTGTGATCCAGGGTAATTGTTGTTTTCCATATTAGTTGTATTCTTAGAGCAGCTGATGTAAAAAAAAGAAAGCCAGATTTCAGCAGTGTTTTTCTTACCATTGCAAAATGTCATTGTGTTCTCATGATAAAATGTGTGAATGATAAAGAAAGCTATCTAACTTCTTCAAATAAATTAGCGGTCACAATGATATATGGTCAGATCTTAAGAACAAAAGCAAACAAGAAAGAAACGAAAAAGTAAAGACCTCTGCAAGGCATAAACAAATTGATAATCATACATAAACATAATGTGTATATATAATTTTCATGTGAAAAACACAAAAATCCAAGGGAATGCCATATGTAATATGTGACAATGGCCAACTGCACTTAAGTATACATAGGAGCTTTACAAATATGTAGATTACATAAGTAGCATAAAGTATCCTTCCATGTTATCATTATTAAACAAAGACATACCAGACAATGCAGTTCTTATTTGGGTCAGGGAATGTAAACATTTGTTTTTCACATGAAAAGTATATATACACATTATATTTATTTGTTTTGTTTTATTTGTTTTAAATACTGTGTGTTTTACTATATTGCATATATGTTGTAAGCCGCACTGAGCCCGCCGTGGAGGGGAGGGCAGGATAAAAATCAAATGAAATAAATAACATAAATATATTTATGCATGGTTATCAATTTGTTTATGCCTTGCAGAAGTAAATTCTTTATTATGTAGTTTCTTTCATGTTTGGTTTTGTACTGGGATCTCTCTCCCCTTTTCCATTTTTGGTTCTTCATATACAGGGGTTATTATGGCTTGTTGGAAACAAATGTTTACATTCCCTGATGCAGATAAGATTCAAATTCTGTCTGGAAAAATGCCTTAGGTTTGCAGAGAAATCGGAAATCTACCCCTTCCCCCCGAAAAACAAATTGTGAGGGTTTACCTCCTCCAATGATAAAAAGAGTGCATGTAGCTTTAAGAAATGGAAGCCCTCAGTGGCCATTGCTAGGCAACCACAATACTGTTGTTTTCAGGAAATGCAGGGGGAGGGGAACAGCTATTTTTGGCCTTTGAAGGTGGACTTTTCAGGCTGAGTCAGACAGCAACCACTGGGTGACTTGCTACAACCTGACTTGTATCACTCATCCAGGCCTGCTTACTTGCTACTGTTCAGCCCCATGAAAGCCAGTGTGATGTAGTGGCTAGCATTTTGGACTAGGACTAGGATATGAGAGGACCCAAGTTCAAATTTCCACTCTGCTGTGGAAGCTGACCGGGTGACTTTGGGTCAGTGACACATTCTGAACCTAACTTACCTCACAGTAGGGTTGCCAAATCAAAGTGCAGCCGGGAGCGGGGGGTGTCCTCTGCTATCCTAGTGACGTGCACGCCGGGGCGGGGTTCCCCCCGGGGCCCGATTCCGCCGTGGTGGAAATCGGGCCTCCAAAGCGGGGGTTTCCCCACCCCCGGCCTGATTTGGCAGCCCTACCTCACAGGGTCACTGTGAGGAAAAAATGGAGGAGAGGAGAATGATGCAAGCTCCTTTGGGGCCTGTTTTGGAGATAGATGGAATAAAAATGAAGCAATTAAATAATAAATACAGCTGAAGGGGACAGATAAAGGTAGGTAGGTAGGTAGGTTGGTGGGTGAGTGGGTGGGCAGGTAAGGATAAGGATATGGGATTTGCCAGGACAATGTAAAGAGGAAATAGTGTGGGGAAGGGAATAAAGGGGGGAGTGAGGTGCCCCCTTGCAAGGTCACCATGTGACTGGGCCATAGTTTTCCTGCTGGGATGGGGGGATGAGGGAAAGCTGCAGAGGAGGGGCAGTTAACAGTAGGTTGTCTGGCGGATATCTTTCAAGGAAGGGAGAGAGGCAATAGAGAAGGAGAGAAAATTGGATAACCCCCTTCAGGTCCCCCACTCCTATAAGCAAAAAATCTGTTGAAACATAGTTAGTTCCCAGCATTTCAGAACACTTCAGTATGACCAAGAAAGTAGAACCCAGGATGGCACCATGCTGATTAAGGGGTGTGGTTATGCAGACTCATAAAGACTTAAATCTCAGTAGCTATAGTCCTGATGCACCAGAATCAGGTGTAGTCTCATTCCAGTGGTGGTCTCCCATTTAAAGAAATGTTTCCATGGGAATGAAGGCAAAACTTGCCATGCAAATAGACAGCCTTCCTGCAAGGGGTCTACTGCTCCCCATATCAGCATTATAGGGGTATTATAAACTTCTTGCAGACAAAGATGTTAATGCAATGTTCAATGCAGTGGAGCAAGGTGGTTTCTGTTATTCTTTGGCATGTCTGATCAGCTAGCAAACATTGTGGCTTACTATCCCGAAGGGCAGAAGGGTGAGCTCCATGTGTGTGCTGGAGCTTCTAAGCCCTCTGCCCTCCTCAAAAGCAATCCATGAGGACTGGTGCTACAAACTACTCCTGAACCTTGGATCAGCTTGGTAAGCACCCCATTACAGCTCAAGGATCACCAGTGAGAAAAAAAGAAAAGAAAAGCAAATACCTTTTTGTCTGTTAAAAATTTCTTGTATGCAATATAAGTCATGCCTTGGATCTCAGGCCTTTCTGCTGTCATTTGTGTTATCATCATATGCAACAAGAGGGAGATTGCTGAGAGACATTGGGAAAGAAGTCATTACAGTTGATATTGCCTTTTTCTAGCAGTGATACTTTGAATTGCAACATATTTCAAATTATTACTACAGAACCAGCTTTTAATGAGTTGCAGCTTTTGGCAGTCAGGATTTCACTTTTCCATCCTTAAACCTTTAGGTATCAGATGCTCAGCCAGACAAATTACCGAGATTGTCGAGCAGATGGGTGGAGCAATGATGTCCCACACTGTGAAGGTCAGTGGGCTTTCAAACATATTATGCCAATAATTGTCACTTCGTCTTGTGTAAGTGATCTTTTCTGATACCGTGTCCAACAGTATCGCTCTTAAAAGGTTCCTTCAGAAGGGGAAGCTCAAAAGTTGGGGAGAGCCAGTGAAACTCTCCACCTTGTATGTGCAGAATTAGGGTCGCCAACTCCAGGTTGGGAAATTCCTGGATATTTGGAAGAACCTGGAAAAGGCAGAGTTTGGAGAGAGGAGGGAACTCAGGAAGGATGTGTTGCCATGGAGTCCACCTTCTGAAGCTGCCATTTTCTCCAGGGGAGCTGATCTCTTTAGTCTTGAGATAAGTCATAATTTTGGAGGAAATGCAGCCCCCACCTGGAGATTGGCAACCCGGTGCAGAATTGTCCTGCTGCAGCATTTGGCTGGATCCAAGTGTTTTCCCTGTTTTATTTTATGCTTGGCTATGAGCCACTGTTTCTTGAATGAAAAAAGGTTCCAAAGCTCCTTCTCTGGGAGAGGATTGCCATGTGGGCTAAAGATTACCTTTTCTTAGAGCGGTCAAGACCTTGTTTCTTGCCACTGCTTAGAGCAGCACAGGGAGAACAATTTTAAATGGCCATTGGCTCAACTATGTGACATCACTTCTGGGGAAAACCCAGAAGTGTATCATCCCTCTCTAGGAGCAGACTTTCTGGTGATTCCTAGAGAGTTGTGATGTTACATCCAGGTTTTTCATGGAAGTGATATCATGACATTAGAGACGGTGAGCCCTCTCATGTCCCTCTGCTGCTGGCTGCAAGGCAACCCTACTTTTTCCCTTCCTTATCTTGTTGTCTTAGCCTTGGACTGCCTTCACCCTAGCACTAGCCATTAACCGCCATGGACCGCCATGGACCTTTCCGCAGCGGTAAATCTCCAGGGTGATGCCCACATCTGGCATTCAACAGTTTACTGCCTCCATACACGACCTATTTTAATTATTGTGGCTCATAGGATAGGCCTCTATGAATGTTAGTAATCCCTTTTTTATAATAAATGTTTATTAAATTTTCAGAAACAATAACAACTATTAACAACCTTTCAAAACATAATGTTTAGCCTTCAGAGCTACAATACAAAATTAACAAATATAATAATATTTAGACTATAATTATAGTCAATAAGACATTATATCATTATAATTATGAGGTAATATAAACTTTAAAGTTTGATTCGATGAAACATAATAAAAAATATATACAATTTTTCAATAAAGTTATTCGTTTTGAGTATACCTTGAGCTACCTTTGAGTAGTTATCTTATCCGCTATTACTACATCCCATAGTTTTAAGTACCACTGATTAATATAGTAATCCTTTTTTTTTAAAGTCATCTAATATTCAGTAAAGAATTCCATAATTTGGATCTATATACAAGATACTCTGCTGATAATGCTTGGCTCTGAAATACATGATGTTTACTCCATGAGGCTTCCTACCAAGTGGTCTCTGTAACTGTTTGCTCTACTTAAGCAGGTTTAGCATCATAGGTCTGCTCCAGGTATACATGTGGCAACTTTTCTGCTGGATGAAGGTGGCATCATTGAACTGATCTCCTTTTCATTCATTTGCAATGACTCCCTGGTGCATCTTGGATTTTTTTTTT